GCAGCCCCCTAGCCTGACCTCTCGCCTTTCTCCAGCCCCTTGTACCGTGACTCCAGCCCAAGCCCTTTCACCACGGCACAACCCCAACCTCACCCTGACCTATCAAACTGCCTACCCTTCAACCTCCCCACATCCTGTCCAAACCCCCATAATCCCAGCATAATCCTAACCTGTTCCCCTCGACTGTTCTCTGTGCTCACCTAATGCCCCATAAATAGGTGCCTGGACATCCTCAACTCGCTCCTCAATGCCGTCACGTCACCCCGAGTCTGAGCACATACCAAGATACCCAATGACATGAAGGTTGGTGGAGTTGTGGACGGCGTGGAGGGCTGTTGTAGGTTGCAATGGAATATTGACAGGATGCAGGGCTGGGCAAAGAAGTGTGGAGGAACTGAGGGATCTTGGGGTCCGTGCCCAAGTTGATAGGTTTGTAAAGAGGGCGTATGGTGTGTTGACTTTCATTGGCAGGGGAATTGAGTTTAAGAGCTGCGAGGTTATGCTGCAGCTCTATAAAACCCTGGTTAGACCACACTTGGAATATTGTGTTCAGTTCTGGTCACCTCATTATAGGAAAGATGTGGAAGCTTTAGAGAGGGTGCAGAGGAGATTTAGCAGGATGCTGCCTGGACTGGAGGGCAGGTCTTATGAGGAAAGGTTGAGGGAGCTCGGGCTTTTCTTCATTGGAGCGAAGAAGGATGAGAGGTGACTGGATAGAGGTTTACAAGATGTCAGAGGTAGGTTCTTTACACACAGAGTGGTGGGTGTGTGGAATGCACTGCCGGCAGTGGTAGTGGAGTCAATACTTTCGAGACTTTTAAACAACTCCTGGATAGACACATGGAGGATAGTAAAATGTAGGGTATGAAGGGTAGTTTGATCTTAGTAGGATAATAGGTCAGCCCAACATCATGAGCCGAAGGGCCTGGACTGTGCTGTACGTTCTATGTTCGTACCCACCTCACACACCAAGCCTGCCTGACGTAGACCACCAACTCAACTCCTACCCTCATAGAGCTGTACAGCACGGAAACAGACCCTTTGGTCCAACCTGTCCGTGCTGACCCAATATCCTAAATTAATCTAGTCCCATTTGCCAGCATTTGGCCCATGTCCCTCTAAACCCTTCCTTTTCATGTACTCATCCAGATGCCTTTTAAATGTTGTAATTGTACCAGCCTCCACACACGCACCACCCTCTGTGTGGAAAAAGTTGCCCTTAGATCCTTTTCATATCTTTCCCTCTCACCTTCAACCTATGCCCGTCTAGTTTTGGACTCCCCCACCCTGGGAAAAATACCTTGGCTATTCATGCTACCCATGCCTCACATGATTTTATAAACTTCACCATTAAACCTACTTCATGTGAACTCTCAGACCACACCTCAAGTCACCACCTCCTTCCACTCCGACACACTCACAAGGCACTCGGAATTCACCTCGCAGGCGCGCTCCCAAGCCTCATGAATTAACCCCAAACTACTGCAGTCAGTCTTTCTCCCCCCTTACCTTTTAAAACCAAAGCGGCTGAGAAAGAGCACTGAGGCTCATGATGTTGTTCTCCCAATTTACACCCCATTTAGCATGATTCCACCCTCGGGTGACTGTCTGTGTGGAATTTGCACGTTGTCCCTGTGTCTGCGTGGGTTTCCTCCCACAGTGCAAAGATGTGCAGGTTCGGGTGGATTGGCCGTGCTAAATTGTCCCATAGTGCCCAGGGATACGCAGGTTAGGGTGGATTGGCCGTGCTAAATTGTCCCATAGTGCCCAGGGATACGCAGGTCAGGGTGGATTGGCCATGCTAAATTGTCCCATAGTGCCCAGGGATGTGCAGGTTAGGGTGGGTTACAGGGGACGGGTCTGGGTGGGATGGTCTTTGTGTCGGTGTGGACTTGTTGGGCCGAAGGGCCTGTTTCCACACCATAGGGATTCTGTGATTTCACTGCCGCCTCTCCCCAGGTTACAGGGACAAGCTGGCCCCAGCCCGCAAGCTATGAGCCACTACCTGGATCGCCAGTGCACCTTCGCCATCCTGGTGGCCTCACAGCTGTTGTTCCTGGTCTACTACTCCTTTGGAGGCCTCCAGAACATCACCAGCTTTTTCAGCTGGACTGGCCAGCCCATCTGGGACTACACCAAAACTCACGACGTCTACACCAACCTCAGCCTGATCCAGCAGCCTCCCTCGGGGGCAGACGGATTGCCAAACTGCCCAAAGAAGTCTCCCTACTTGGGTAAGAGGAGGAGGAGGAGGAGGAGGAGGAGGAGGAGGGGAGGAGGAGAGGGGGACCTGGTCGATAGAGCGGGATTGCAGGCATTTCTGGAGGGGAGCGCAACTGAGGCAGGAACCTTGGAGAATGAGAATGGGGAAGGGACGGCGTGACGGGGGTGGGTGTGTGGGGGCGGGTGGTGTGAGACATGGTGATGG